AATGGGACGCTTCACCACAGGAGGTACAATTGTGGGCTGTTACCTCAACGAGCTTTGTACAGCAAAAGGCTCCTGCACAGCTCTACTAGCCACTCACATCTGCCACTGCGTGGTAACAACACGGGCCCTGCCAGTGGCCTTAGGAAAGAGTAGGTGAAAAATCTATAGCTATAAATCTCCTGTAGAATAAAGTGTCCATGTGATTCACCATTTCCCTCTGCTGTGAATAAACAGCTCCACAGAGGGAAACCAAGGAGTATTGGCAAAAAAAAGATATTTAGTGGTGGGGATTTGAGGGAGTCAGCCCCAGCCCCATCCTGATCTGAATACTATGCATTTTTGGATCCACTTATGAACTCCTTGGGTGGCTCTGTCTGAAGAGTTAATTCCACCAAGACACCTCTAACTATAGGGACGTTCAGATCTGAATCCAGCCCCAAACTTCATAGGTGAGACTTCTCTCTTTCATGGACCTAGCCCCTCTCTTCTCCAGCCCCATCCTAAACATGGGAAAGCTCTGGGTCCAGCTTTGTATTCAGAGTACATTGAGCCAGACTCTCGGCTAGTGGTAAGCAGGACAGCCCCTTTGATTTGAGAGGAGTTGTGCCCTACTTACATTAGCTGAGAATCTGGCTTGCTGTAATGCGTATACTCATTTTCTTGATAGAGCGAAGGAGAAAAGGAATGAAAACAAATACAGACAAACCTCATGGGCCCGTTCCTCTTTCTTTCATTCTATCCCCTTTTGTTTCCTACAAAAGGGAATTGAGCTCAGACTGATGTCTACCTCTGAAAATATTAAGATCATTGAACAGAAGCTGTTCCAATCCTGACTCAGCTCTGAGGTTTGCCTACACACACAAGTTGCACCAGTTTAATTTAAACTGATTTTAAAATAGACTAAGTCCAAACCCTGTGTGGACTCTCAGACTGGTTTAAAACTGGTTACGGTGGTTTAGTCTGCAAGCCAGGTTTAAATTGATTTAAGAGTGTCTGCACACAGACCTGCACTAGTTTAACTCCATCATTTTAAAATCAGAGCTTTAGTTAAGCCACTGCAACTTTGGGCATGGACCTGTCCTGAGATTGGAGGATCTCAGTTCAAGCTCGGTACTACGGGTTAGACGGTTTCTGGGCCTTGCGCAGATGCTCAGGGAGGAAGAGAGGACAATGAAGTCAATGGGAGCTGAGAGCACTCAAGGAAGCATTATAAGTGTGATTAAGGCACAGTTCTATTTCTGGCCCTGCCACAGGCTTACTGGGCAACCCCCGTTACCTTCACTGTAGCTCAGTTTCCTCCTCTGGAAGAGGAGGAGCAACTTCGAAGGGAGTCATGAAGCTAAATCCATGAACATTTGGAGAACACTTTGAGACCCTTGGATAGCAGGTGTTATAGAAATGCCACGTACTATTATACTGCATTGGACGGACTTGCAGCTCGGGTCAAGGAGACTATTTGCATGACAGGCTATACAAGGGTTACCAAAAAGTGTAAGAAAAGGAACAGGGAGGTGCTATCTACCCAGGTGCCATCTGCAGGGCGTGCATGGTGTTATCCCCTGGTTCCATGGGTCCGTATTTCCCATTCCTGATCTGGTGGCAGTGCCCTACGCAGTGCCGTGCCCTCTCTCTTCTTTGTCAATGTCCTGCCTGGATTCCTCACGGCTAGCCCCATCCTCCTAGCACTCCTTCAACAGAGCCACTGGAGGGTTCATGGCTGGAGGCCACCCAAGTTTTTCAGAGAGGCTGGTTCTATATTTACTTTGAGAAGCTGGAAAACCCTGCCTGGCTAGCTCCCCATCCAAGTTCTGGGAGTACAAGCGGCTGACACGAGTGCCATGGGGGTCACACTGTGAGACAGCAGGGCCCACCAAGGACTGCTCTGGTGGGATTTCAGCCAGTGGTCCAGCCCCCAGTCTGGCTGTAGTACAGCTTACCCTGGTTTCAAGCAACTGCAGTGTACAGCAGTTTACCCAGTCTCCACTCGGGGGTCTAGCTCTGGGCAACCATCAGAGGCTGAAATCCCCAGTGTAGCAGGCAAGGCCTAAATCAAAGGCCGAAAGCGTGGGTACCTGCTCACACACTAGGCCCAAAAGAGCTGCGTTTGTCCACACAAAACAGGCAAATGTGCACTTACATGGATACGTGTGGATAGAGGCCACAACTGCTCACCCACCTCTCTCTCATATCCTGGGACTAACACAGTTGCACCAACGCTGCAAATAATTTCTCCTGCCATCCAGCCATGCTACGGATTTCGGCGAGAGATTCTGGATGCAATTTCCTGCGTGCACCTATGTTTTACACTTAAAATTAGGTCATAAAGACCAATGGATCATTCTGTATGGGAAAAAATTAAACCCTTAGGGCTTGTTTCTGCCGCTCCCTCCCATTCATGGGTGTTCCCTCTGGGCGTCTGATACAGTCAGCTTGGAGTACGTGTACAAACAGCAGCCAAAATGTACATGCCCCAGGCGACATGCCCCGTGCACCTAGAGATCCCAATCAACCCCCAAATGGGCAGATGGGTGTGATGTTATCAGCAGCCATTGTCAAAGCTCCATTTAGTTCCAGAGTTCAAAGCCACTTCCGTAAATAATCAGACTCTTCTAGGGAGAGCTACGATTGTGAGCTAACAAAAAGCCGAGGAGCCCCGTGCAGCGTAAGGCCCGTGCATTGTTTTATCAGCTACTTGTGTTTGCCTCTGTACATGACAATATCCCATGCCCTGCACACTTTTGACTCGGATAAAACAATTTTTTAATTATTTATTTTTAAAGGGTGTTTTTTTTTTATATCTAACTATCTATCTATCATCATTGGATATTTCCTTCCACAACATAACGCCTCTCCAAAAACCAAAGAAGAGAATAAAATACCCCCTCCCCCACCAACAGCCTTCTTTCATCTCATCCCTTCTTTCTTACAACAGAAAACGGACGCCTTCAAATGTTAACTCACAACCAACAGCCTTTGAGAATAGTCACATCCGAGAGGAGGAGTTACCCACTGCTGAGTCCGGAAATGCGAAAGGAGTCTCAGGTTGAAGTCAAGTACTGAGGGTTTTCCAAGCGAGCCGTCACACTTACCTGCTGTGTATATTGAGGATGTAGTGGAAGCTGCCACGTTTTATAAGTTTTCGTACCTGTTCCCTGGGATGTCCTTCAGTACAATTACCAGATAAGATGCCTGGTATCCTTAGGAATTGCAGAAGGGTCATCAGTCACTTAACTCTCTTGCTGAGGAGAGCTTCTCTCGCCAAGAGAGCTACCACCGCTCATTGGGGGTGGTTTAATTATGTTGACAGGAGAGCTCTCTCCCATCAGCATAGTGTGGCTACAGGAGAGATCTTACAGCGGCGCAGCTGCATTGGTACAGCTGTGCCGCCGTAAGCTCTCTAGTGTAGACACAGCCTAAATACCACTGTTGCGATTGGATTGGACAAGGCGGATACTGTAGGCGTCCTGGTGATCCCCGTCCTGAAAAGGGATTACCAAGGCAGAGACGCGACTGTTGGCTAGTAGTTTGATCAGGGAATGAAGAGGCATGACTGCTGGGGTCCGTTCTTGGCTCTGTCGCTGATGTGCTATCCGACTTTGGGCAAGTGACGTCACCTCTTTTGCCTCAGTCCCCTCCAACTGGAAGATTATTGTGATGAGTTACACATACTCCACATAGGTGCAGAGTTACAGTTAGGTGCTATCACAGTTACAAACACTGACTATCTCAAGGTTTTTCCCTTTTGTAGTCTGCAGGACTCTCACTTAAAATTGATTGATAGCAGCAAACTAAACCCAAGAGAAACTCTTCACTTATTTGCAGTAAAACCCCCTTTTCTGACAGCTGGTCCATGAGGAGTATAAAAATAATTCTGCTCATGTCACCCCCCTCTTTAGGTTTCTGTCAGAATTTTTTTTAAGATCAGAAAATGACTATACATGGCACAGGAACCTGGAAATACTGAAGTAACTTGCAAACATTTAATGGGAAAAAAAAAAGATTTTCCCCAGTTTTCAAACTAAACTGGTTTGACTTGGCTCTCTCGGAGATCTTGAAATGTAAATAACCTGTTTTTCCCAGTGTGCATATATTTCTGCACATGCCTATAGATGAGCTGAGACACTCAGCATCAGTCTCCAGAGGGGAGGAGTGACAAGGGGCTCTAAAGTTAATATATTGAGCAAGTTCATGCGATTAGGCACCTGTAGATCACGTGCCCTCTGACCTTTAATGCCCGCCAGATGGAAGCAATATCCCAGTGTAGTCTTTTGTTTACCAGATTTATTCCAGAGCTGTTTTTATCAACTGAACCACATTTTTCTCTCATGATTTAGTGAGGACACCACTTGCATTATACCTATATGCACTGAGACATCTGCTCCCTGAGTCATAAAGATTCCTTCAAAGCTTTTTTTTAATCACTTTGCCTAGTCAACAGCAGCAGAATATTACACTTCTTTGTAGAAGGAGCTAATTAAGCAAGGGAAAGCATTGTCTAACGGCTAAGAGGTGGGGCTATTCTCAACTCTGCCTTTGGCCCACTGCAGCACTGGGCAAGTCACTTACCCTCTACCTATCTAGAAAATGGAAGCCCTTGCCTGTCTTACAGAGATGTTGTAAGAGTTTACACAGCTCTTAGAAAAGCTGCTGCAGGGAAGGTATTAGTATTAAATACTTTAGACATATGATGACAGTTGAGACTTTTTCCTCATGATTATAGATTACATTAACTGTTGGGAGCAGAGGGCACCTCCCTACATACCCAGGACATTCTACCATTGACATGTACTGTGTATCTAGAAGCTGCCAACCCTAACTTTTTTATGAAGCCTGCTGCATTCTGGTATTGCGAGCTCTGTGAAACATTCCATCCTGGTTTCCTGCACCTCTTCCACAAGGTGCATTTAACAGTTGGAATTACTCCAACTGGCAACATTTCAAGGCTCCATGACTCATTCCCTAAGAAAAACATGCAGTGCATTAAACTCCACGCTAGCACATAAAATAAATGTTACCTTTATTTGCAAGATCCAGCATTTTCTCAAATACGTTACCTGTTCAGAAATAGTTTCTAATACTTATAAAAACAGATGGCTAGAATGTCTAAGACGATTACAAACTATAAATGATGCATATATATTGTACAGATGCTAGCATCTGTTAAGAAAACAGAGTTTGTTTTTTCCACATATCCTACACATTTTTTTCCTGTTACAGGTCAATCTATTTCAAAGGACCAGATGAGCTTCTTTCAGTAAAGTTCAGTCTTTTGTGCGTGAAGACGGTTTACTTTGTTGACAGGTTTTCAGATTTAGCTTGTGAGAAATGGCAGCAGATAAGCTTTTTCCTGACCTTGATTTTCTCCTAAAGTTTACTTGAAATTGTTGCATCTCTACCAACATCTCAGGCACTGGAGGGGGAGTGACATCCTGCAGATCAGCATACTGGATACAGTGATAGACCCTGGCCTGGACCAGACAAAAGAAATCTTGTTTGGAAATTTTTAGAGGCTTATTTTGCATTTTTAGGCCTTGTTTTGTCGTAGTCATAGAAGGAAAAAATGCAGCAGTAGAACAAAAAAATGACCATACTGTCCCACAACCCCACCATCAGCCTCCTGTTCAAGATCCAAAGATAGCCTGCCTTGCTTTAAAACCTCTGCTCCATCCCAAGTCCTGCCTGTCTCTATTCAACTTCTATTCTTTTCACATTCCTATCATTGGCCTCCTTTCTGCTCCCGTCCATCTTACCATTTGTGCAAGATCCTTCTCCTCTGCAGCGCCTACATCTGAAACCACCTTTCCATTGTCAAGGATGAAAGACATCTCCCTCAGACATTCAGGCCCTGAGGGTGTAGCTTCCAGTGGAAAGACATTAACTAACCTGCTCTTTGTGGGTAACACAGGCCTTTACATCTGGGAGGAATTCAGACAAATGACGCCTCACTTTTTGCTTGTAGAAGGAGCCCAGGATCTCACTCTTCTGTGATAATTATATTAAAAAGAAGAATCGGAGGTAGCCGTGTTAGTCTGTATCCACAAAAATAAGACGAGACGGGTACCCAGAAGTCACCTACTACAGGACAGGCCCAACAAGGAAAATAACAGACCACCACTGGTCATCACATACATCACCCAGCTAAAATCTCTCCAGCACATCATCAACAACCTATCCTGGAAAACAATCCCTCACTCTCACAGATCATGGGAGGCAGGCCAATCTTCGCTTACAGACAGCCCCCCAACCTGAAGCAAATACTCACCAGCAACTACAGACCACACCACAGAAACACTAACCCAGGAACCAATCCCTCTTACAAACATCGTTGCCTACTCTGTCCCCATATCTACTCTAGCGACACCACCAGACGATCCAACCACATCAGCCACACCATCAGGGACTCATTCACCCGCAAATCTACTAATATGATATATGCCATCATGTGCCAGCAATGCCCCTCTGCCATGTACATTGGCCAAACCGGACAGTCCCTACGTAAAAGAATAAATGGACACAAATCGGACATCAGGAATGGTAACACACAAAAGCCAGTAGGAGAACATTTCAATCTTCCTGGACATTCTATAACAGATTTAAAAGTAGCCATACTCGAACAAAAAAACCTTCAGAAACAGACTTCAAAGAGAACCTGCAGAACTAAAATTCATTTGCAAATTTAACACCATTAATTTGGGCTCGAATAGGGACTGGGAGTGGCTGTCTCACTACAGAAGCAGCTTTGCCTCTCCTGGAATTGACACCTCCTCATCAATTATTGGAGTGGACTACATCCACCCTGATCGAATTGACCCTGTCAACACTGGTTCTCCACTTGTGAGGAAACTCCCTTCTCTTCATGTGTCAGTATAATATGCCTGTATCTGTAATTTTCACTCCATGCATCTGAGAAGTAGGTTTTTTACCCAACAAAGCTTATGCCCAAATAAATCTGTTAGTCTTTAAGGTGCCACTGGACTCCTTGTTTTTATTAAAAAGAAGGCAGTTTACTACGTTTGTTTCCCTCTGCAGGATTCTTCCTCCAGCCCTCTGTACATTGTCCCTTTTAAACAGCACATCAGACAACAATACGGGTTTCCTCACCAGCTTCCCCTTCTCTTCCCACTGGTGCCACTCAGCCTCAATTTGTTCATCCATGTAACGGGTGAGTCGCTTCTCTTTCTGGATCATTTTTTGGAAGTTCAGATTAACATCTGAGATTAGGCTTGATTTTCCGTGCAATAAATTCGTCATCATGGACTGCTGCCTCCTCTGCTGGCTAAGCGTGTGCATGATGCTTCGAGTACCTCTGGGCACAAAGGCATAAGGAGAGGATTAAACTTCCACAGCAAACTAAGAGTCTTGCCCCTCTTCCCTAATGCAGCAGAATGGAGCCCAGCCTACTCATTGAACTAGGAAATATTGAAAGCAGACGCCGTATTAGGACTAAGCAAAATAATTAGGATAAAATAAGAGGACTTGAACTGGACTTTTTGGGTTCAGAAAAAGTCAGCATCATTTCCCATTTGCCCCTCCCAGCCCTCTTAGCTATCATTTTCTCAGCTCTCTGCACTTCCTAGTTCGTGGTGGGACTCGGCACGTCTGCTTCTAACACTGGCTGCTGTCCTGAGGCCCAGCTCTGCCCTCACTACTCTCAGTGGTTTCAATCAGAGTTGATGGGTGTATGTGAGGACGGGACTAGACCTATGGCATTTAGTGTCCCATCAGACATAGAACAAATCTTCTCGGAGCCGCCCTAGAAACACAGAAGCAACAGGTGCTTTAGAGAAGGCTCCATACATTTTTCTTGTGAACAGAACCTTTGGGAACGGAAAAATTGATTGAATTTTCTCAAGTCTAAATATTACAGACCCCAAAGAGTCCAAAGTGATGTCTACACTACAGACCTTACTGCTGTACCACTGCAGTGGTGCTGTTGTAAGGTCTCCCATGTATGCTGATGGGAGAGAGCTCACCTGTCAGCATAATTAAACCACCCCCCATCAAGTGGCGGTAGCTATATTGGCAGGAGACGCTCCACACCGGCACTTTTGTCGGTGAACTTGTCGGTGAAACTTGTCCCCGTCAGGGGTGTGGTTTTACTGACAAAAGTGCTGGTGTAAACACAATCCAGGAGAGACAGCCCTAAAAATCCAACTTCGAACCGTGGAGAAAGAGATTGAACACTTGCTGAACAGAGATTTGTAACAGATCATGGCAGCTACTGGGTTTACCCCCCACCCTGCTGACAAAAAATGAATGAGTTTATCACTTCCTTTAACCATCCCTGTCCATTATTTCGAGTTCAGATACAGACTGCCCCAGCATACGGGACAAAGACAGAGGCGATCGTATTGATCCTCCATGCTGGAAAGGCATTTGCTTAAATGTGACTCTTCAAAGACTCATTCCAGTTCACTCACTCCCAGTGAGGGAACTTGCCCTCATTGAGCACTTTCAGGGTTTGAGTGGAACCAACTCTTCGGATTTCCGATGGCACCTCAGCTGGCCTCAGATACTGCAGCCCAACGTTCCACAATGACTGCCCAAAGGTCCCTGCCATTTAAACCAGCAGAAAAGAAAGGTCAGAATGGGGGCTGAATGGATAGCCCAGACACAGCAATTAACACCTGCCTACAAGCAAACCTCTCACTCGTTTGCCTTTGGAACGGCTGGCAAGTCCCCATCTCTGCAGAAAGGAAGGTTTTTGCAAGTGAAACGGATGATAAACGCAGGACTTTATGGTGGTCACTATGCTACAGATCACTAGAGCTGGGTGGAAATTTATCAACAAAACGTTTTTTCTTCAGAATATGCCAATTCAACAGAACTGAAGCTTTCCATGGAAACTTTGACTAAACTTTCATCGGGAAGATTTCTCAGATCCAGGATGGACTTTCCAGTCAAAGCCAGAAGGGGAGAGAGAGAGAGACACACACACCCCCATCCCAGAATAGCCCTTTGCAATGGTTCAGACTTGACCGGAGTCTCCCACATCCCAGGTGAGTGCCCTAGCCACTGAGCTATCATTGGCTACTCCGGGGTGGACCGTTCTCATTTTATCATGAAACACATGGAAAGGTCTTCGCTTGGTTCTGAAGTGGAACAAAAACTAATTGTGAAACCTCAAAGTTTTTCACAAAATGGGACCTTGGTTTCTGGCCAGCCCTACACACCACAGCCTGGCTCCAGGGCCATCGCCGGGACAGAACTCTCAGGGCCCAGCTGAAGAGCGGAGCACCCTCCATTCCCACTGAAACCAATAGGAAGCAAGAGCACTCTGAACCGTCCAGGCCTGAGCCCTAAAGAACAGCCCCCGACCACTTGAACTATAGGAGAGCCGTCGTGCCAGCCAGAGATCACTAGAGCGCAGCCGCACTTGGGCCACAAACTCACCCTCTCCTCTCTGTTTAGGTTTAAGCTCTTTGGGGCCGGGCCCCTCTCCATGTAGCACAACGGGGACCCATTTCAGTTAGAGCTGCTAGGTGCTACCATATTACAAACAAACAACAGCATCCCACACCAGTTTGGGGGGAGGGATAGCTCAGTGGTTTGAGCATTGGCTTGCTAAACCCAGGGTTGAGAGTTCAATCCTTGAGGGGGCCATTTAGGGATGTGGGGCAAAAATCTGTCTGGGGATTAGTCCTGCTTTGAGCAGGGGGGTTGGACTAGATGACCTCTTGAGGTCCCTTCCAACCCTGATATTTATGATCTATGATTCTATGACCATCCCCTGCCATGGGCATGCTCCTGATAAGCCCTTTGCTCTCCGGGGGTAGTGCAGAGCCAGCTAACCACGTCAGCAGCACAGTTTGGGAAGCTTTATAGCCCCATTCCACCACCAGGGCAGTGAGAAGGGACCTTCACATGGGGCGGTATCTGGCCCTGAGTGTTTGGGGCAGACCTCTGTCTAATGGAAATGGCATGACATCAGAGTCACCTACCCCAGCTTCCTGGTAACCATGGCTAACTTGAATGAGAACTGTTACCAAAATAATTTTCTTATTTCCCTCAGCAAATGAGATTGTTTTTTAAAAAAAATTGACAAATTGGATTGAAATTTTCTCTCTCTTTTAAAGTAAACTTTACAGAAAAGGGGGAAATCCTAGAAATGGGAGTTGTATGGCATCATTTCTCTTATCTGCAATTCTGTACACAGCTGGCGTCATTTCCACAACATGGGGGCTCCCAGTCAAGCCTGTACTATAGACCAACCTTACCTTCCAAGGGCTGTCACATGTTTATCTTTCACATTTTAGTAAGAAATGGCACTATGCCTGGGATGGCTTCAGGCAGTACCTGGGCATTGGTAGCTCAGCCCAAGGTTCATTCCCTCTGGGGCACCTGGCATCGGCCACTGTCAGAAGACATGACACTGGGCTAGCTGGACCTTTGATCTGACCCAGTTTGGCCATTCTTATGTGCAGTGTTCTCCCTGAAGATTTTCAGCTGGGTCCTGAGCCATGAGGCGACATCCTTATAGTTTCATAGTCTTTGGCGAGAGTTGGCTGACACTTTCCCTTCTGCAGCACTTTCCTCACATTATAACCAAAACTGCACTGATGGGCTCAGAATATTTCTAAGGATGTCGTTTTTGGTGGGTCCAAAATTGGACTGTGGTCCAATTAGACTGAGCTGAGAGCCAGCCATCCTACCCAAATAAAAATCCTTTCGAGTTAACAAATTGCACTTAAGTTAGGAAGCCAGTTTTATCTAGCAAGACAGCAAAAGTGACCCGTCTATTTGTCTCTTCTGTTTCATAACCAAGGTGGATCTCTAGAAAACACCAGCTGGTATGAATGGCTTTAGCATTCCAAACAATTGTACCTATGTGCCTGCCTGAGAGCATCCAGAGTTTGACGTTGCAGTCATAGCTGGACGTGACAATCAGTCTGAGCTTTTCCACATACACAATGTGGGATACATTCTTCAGATGACCCCTCCAAGAGTTTAAAAGATCTGGGGGGATGAGGGTGATACTCCAGCCATCCAGGACCTGCAGAACAGATGACATGAGAAATTAATTTGTGAAGATGCTCACTTGGGAGAAGGTCAACAGCTTAGTTTAAACATGACACAAACCTTTATAATCTATAAATCATCTCCACTCCCTATCTAAGCTATTTTTATGGCTGTTATCACTATGGTATTTAAATACCATAAGAATGTAATCTACCAAGAAACAAATTTTCATCCCGTCCGGTTTGTGGACAGCAATGATAATGGTATAAAGCCAGTAGGGTTCTATAGTTCTGACACCTTTTCAACCATAATCTGTAACTATCTTGATAGCAGTATGCATCAGCTGGCAAAATCTTCCTTTTTTATCTCAATTCCACTGGGAATCTAATGGGTTGTATCCAGTACAACACTAGGGAGTCTACAAAGTCAGGATCCTCTTGGTCCATATTTCCCAATTCAAAGAAGGCAAGTATTTGTTTTTCCCTCTTGCTATGAAATCACATCTCACTGAGCCAGGAAGGGCTGAAGAACCTCCTCCCTTCCTCATAGAGATGGTGTGAATTTAGTGCAGGTTACCTCCAAGGGTGAGGAGAAAGGTATGTTTTCATAATGTCACTCCAGAAAGAAAAATAATCCTGATATTTATATTGAAAATAATGTCATGCATCAGCACGTCTATTGATACCTTCCCAAAAGCAATGAGACCAACCCACATAGCTTAGTTAATCTACCAAGTATTTCAAGAGGTTGTCACAGACACTGGCAGACCAGGTGCCAGCTCACATCAAGGCCCGTAGGCCTCACTGTACAATGACAAATGCAGAGCTGGAAGCCAGTCTGACTCACCTGTGTGTTAGTATTGTTAAAATAGGTATCAAATTTATAAAAATGTGTTTAGTGTTAAGCATTTCAAAAACTCTAGTGAGTTGCTGCCTGCATTAATCTCACTTATAATGTCTGTTGCTGCCTGCATTAATCTCACTTATAATGTCTGTATCCCAGGTTATAAGGTAGTATTTAAGTGTTTACTCTGAACGTGTAAACCGTCACAGTCAGGAGAGAAGTATTACCAAGTGTGAAATATTAGTTTGCCACAAGGGGCATCATCTCCTGCCCAACAAAAGAAGGACCATAGACACCAGACAAGCCATTGTGGAAAATCAGGGGACAGACTTTGCTAATTGCTCTCCCCACACTCACAAAGAGGAGATGTGCACAAGCACTCGTCCCATCAGCTTGAACTCTGGGAGGAAGGCAATAAAAATCCACCAAGAAGAAACTGAGATCTGTGTCGCTTGAACTCTGAGAGGCGAAGATTTCTAAGCATAAGCAAGGGATCCCCAGCCTTTTTGCCTGGGTTAGCCCTAGAGAGCTTATAGAGCTTGCATATTACAGCAGCTTCTATTGCCTTTTGGAACCTAAGACTTACTCATTCGTATGTGTTTATCTGCTTTAACTTTGTAAATAACTCATTTCTTTTTTCTTAGTTAATAAATCTTTAGTTAATTTATTATAGGATTGGCTACAAGCATTGTCTTTGGTGTAGAATCTAAAGTGCAGCTGATCTGGGGTAAGTACTTGGTCCTTTGGGACTGGGAAGTTGTGATTTTTGGTGTAAGGGAGCATCTGTCACACAAAGGCAAGTTTACCTGGGTGCCAAGATAGATCGGAGTACCCAAGGTGACTATCTGACTCCATGTTAAGCCTGTTATAAGTGCTTGAGGAGTTCACACTTGATATGTGGTTCGTGAAATCTAAGTATAGAACTCACAACCAGTTTGGGATTTGTGCCTTGCTTCTACACAGTCTGCCCTGAGCCTGGCACTCATGCTTGAGCGCCACTTCAGACAGCTTGACAGTCATACTTCCAATAAACTCCTAAAAATGCATGGGCAATATTTGTGAATATAGGGAGGGTATTTTCAAAAGCACCTACATGATTTAGGAGCACAAGTCCTATTTATTAGGCAGGGACATCTTAGAGGCCCACAGAAAATTCAGTCCATTACAAAAACTCTGAAATGCCAACCCCACCCTGAATGTGATGAGGAGAGCTTAAAGGAAACAAGGCTATGCCACTGCTAATTAATATAATGTATAAACTCTTTACAGTACAGATTCTGCAATGCACTACCTCATTAGTTTCCATCGATGGATTCTCTCTGGCAGGAACTCTACAGTATTTTGGGATTAGGTGACGAAACATGTTCTCATTTCTACGAGATGTTTCTGTCTTTCCTGCCCTGGAAACTTTCTTTACCTCTTTTGATTTGCAGTAATTCTCGATATCCCAGATCTAAGGAGAGACTTTGTTAGTAACTTTTTAATTTTCATTTTCATTTACAGAAACACCATGTTGCACATTCCCCTGAAACTGGCTAGGAAGTGACCAGTCACACCGCTCCCATTCACCATAGTACGAGTGGTGCACATAACTCATCCTCCAGTTTTCATTCTTGTGACATCTCTAGGGACAAAAGATAGTCCCATTTGCTCTCCAGCTTTGTTTGTTCATTCACTGGGTTTTAAATTAAGGTCTCAAGTTTTCACACAGCTCATTACTTTCCAAGCCTTTCAAATGGAACAAGCGGTTTGGTCTGTTTTGAACAGCAGACAAGTTACAAATCCTATGACTTTACTTCTTATCTTCAGAGTCAGACTTTCAAAGAGGCTGTTTTTCAGACATCATAAAACAATCACCTTAATATAACCTAGGGAATCTCCAGTCAACAAGATGAAGTCCTCTGGATCCGTGGACATGGTACCGACTACTGCATTTACACCACCACCATGTACTGCCTGAAATTTGCCCAACATCCCCCCGTCACTACTGACTGACCAGGCATAGATGTAGCCACCTGCAGAGCTGGTTAGCAAAATGGCTGTGTCAGGAGACTGCTCACGTGTCTCCAGGAAAAGTATCTGCAAAAGAGAAAGCCATAGCAACACGTGCCCTGTCCACTCTCACATCCACTCGGATTGCTGAGTAGGTCAGAGAGAAATGTAGACGTCTAACCTTTTCCACAGCAGCTGGGAGGCCCTTCAACTCTTCCTGCCAATTTGGATAGGGTGGCTCTTGGTTGCTGGTTTCAGCAGCATCTTGGTCTTTGGGAGAATCACTTTCTAGGTCAGTATTTTCCCCTCCTGGAGGCTGGGCTGCCTACAGAATCAAAAACACCACCACATACCTTTAGCCAGGCCTTACATTGGAGGCTGATTAGGTTCTGCTCTTCTTGACAACAGACTCTGCAGGGTGGTAAGACAAGACAGTGCTTTTTGGGGGGGCCAATATTTCTTTCAACCTTAACTACAAGAAGTTCTCTGTTATAAGGCCAGGTCCTGAGACCCCCTTACGGAGGTGAGTAAGGGCCAAACGAAGCAGAGAGCTGGGTAAGAAACATGTGGCAGAGGGTGGGGGGTGAAAAGAAGCAAGAGTACCAGGAAACCATCTTCACTTTTCACCATTTGTTGTTTAGGGCATGGTTCACTGAGTAAAAGACAGCAATGCTTATGCTGTGACATGTCTTCACCCCAGCTTGGAACCAGCCAGAGATTGTTGTGAGTTTAGCCTAAATCACAAGAGCTTTCACAGAACCATACCTGCTGCCTTTTAGCTTCATCCAGTTGCTTTTCTCTGGACTGTCTTATAACAGATTGAGCAGGAGCCAAATTTCTGCATGGGCCAAAAGAGGAAACGGAAGGACTCTCAGTAGTTGAAAGCCTCGCTGCCAAGCTAGTCCTCGAGTCGGCCCAGCGCTTTTTCCCAGACTCTGCATAACAGCTGAGCTTTACTGATACTGATGGTTTCTTTGGGATATTTCCTCTGCTGGGATCTTCCTTCCTCTCAGTGAACACCTAAGCAATGGGAGCAAAAACTGCATTTCAGTGTGAAACGGTCCCTTGAGACTTTTCCCGTCTTCCTTCTTCAAACTGCTATATCTCATCCCATCTGCTGGACTGAATTACTGAAGAGGCAATGGGTTCTTCACTTGCAAAGCAGACCCAGCCATTCTGGCCAGCAACATCACTTTTCTGCGGCAGTAGCTTAAGGAGAAGTAGAATCCCTGTTTCTATTGAGAAGTAGCTGCCAGTGTGACTAAATTAGGGTCTGATCTATCTCCCATTCATAACGTCTGTGACTTCAGTGAAAGGAGGATGAGCCTTTAACTTGTGGAACAAATACCAATGCAATATATTTTCAGTACAAGATCTGGAGGTTCATAGTGGTCAAAGCTTCCCACAATCCAGCCTTGTAAAGCATTGGAACAAAAGGAGGAGGGAGAAAAATTGTTGTTCTTAACCTCTTAGGATAGGACAAGGAGCAATGGACTTAAATTGCAGCAGGGGAGTTTTAGGTTGGACATTAGGAAAAACTTCCTGTCAGGGTGGTTAAGCACTGGAATAAATTGCCTAGGGAGGTTGTGGAATCTCCATCATTGGGGATTTTTAGGAGCAGGTTGGACAAATACCAGTCGGGAATGGTCTAATATAGTCCTGTCATGAGTGCAGGGGACTGGACTAGATGACCTCTCGAGGTCCCTTCCAGTTCTATGATTCTATAAAACCATGATGCACTTACAAAGCACCACACAAATCTATGCTCTGTCCCCCAGTGTGCTAGTTCTGTCCTGTAAGAGCTAAAACAGAGTTCTGGCTACTGACATGCAAATGAGCCATCAAGTGACTCCACAATTTCAATTTCAATTTCCTCCAGTGATAGGACAGCTGCTGTCTCAACAAGGTGTGCACGCTCTGACGTGGACAGGAACAGACTTGTCCGGTGCCTCAGCCAACTAGAAACCAAGATATTTATTAAAAACACAATTGACTGTACTTTAAATATCTTGTTTCTGATTGGCTGGAGTATTATTAATATTCATAATTTTATTTGGATAACTTCTCCATCACTCCCAACTTCGCATGTAGAGGACATCTGTCCACCAGCACAAAACAATTGTAAAACTCATCAGATTGCCAGGTCCCCATTTGGGAAATGCCCAGGAGTGGACGAGCAGGGATATTATAACTCAGGATTGCAGAACATTCGTAGAACTAAAGGCGCACAGCCTGGCTCCAACTATCATCAGTACCTAATTTTAGTGAGCAACAAATTAAACTTTTTTTTAAATAAAAATATATTTTCTAACTGTAAATCATAAGAACACAAGAAGGGCCATACTGGGGCAGAGCAATGGTCCTTCTAGCCCACTATCCTGTCTTCTGACAGTGGCCAATGCCAGGTGCTTCAGAGGGAATGAACAGAACAGAGCAATTTATCTAGTGATCCATCCGCTGTCCTCTAGGCCCAGCTTCTGGTCGTCAGAGGAATAGAGATACCCAGAGTATGGGGTTCTGTCCATGACCATCTTGGCAAATAGCCATTGATGGACCTATCCTCCATGAATTTATCCATGAACAGAGTGGCTGAGACCTTGGGAATTTTTGCCTTCCTCTGCAACATGGGGCCTGGGTCACTTGCAGATTTAAATTAGTGCAAATAGTGGATCCTCTGTAACTTGAAGTCTTTAAATCATGATTTGAGGACGTCAGTAACTCAGCCAAAAGCTATGGCTCTATTTCAGGAGTGGGTGGGTGAGGCCTGCAAAGCACAGGGCAGACTAGATGATCATGATGGTCCCCCTCTGGCTTTAAAGTCTATAATTCTTTTTGAACCCAGTTATACTTTCGGCCTTCACAACATCCCTTTAACGACTTCCACAGGTTGACTGAGTTGTGTGACAAAAAACTTCCTTTTGTTTGTTTTAAACCTGCTGCCTATTAATTTCATTGGGTGACCCCTGGTTCTTGTGTTATATAAAGGAGTAAATAACACTTCCTTATTCACTCTCTCCATACCATTCATGATTTTATAGACCTCTATCATATCCCCGCTTAGTTGCATCTTTTCCAAATTGAACAGTCCCAGTCTTATTAATCTCTCCTCACTTGGAAGCATTTTTGTTACCCTCCTTTGTACTTCTTCCAATTCTAATATATCTTTTTTGAGATGAGGCGACTAGAACTGCATGGACTATTTAAGGTGTGGATGAACCATGGATTTATAATAGTGCCATTATGATATTTTCCATCTTACGATCTATCCCTTTCCTATTGGTTCCGAACATTGTTCGCTTCTTTGACTGCTGCTGCACAAACAGCAGATCATTTCAGAGAACTATCCACGACGACGCCAAGGTCTTGAGTGGTAACAACTAATTTAGATCCCACCATTTTGTATGTCGTGACAGAGCAATCTGATTAGCTGTTAGAATGTGGTGCACACATCCCCTCAATTTAACAGTAATCAGAAGGCACATTTAACATACTGAAGCACTGAATTGTGTAGGAAACAGAGCTGGGCAGCTGTTCTCGAACTTACCCTGTTTGGCATAAGGGTCAAAGGACTCTGGGATGCGTTAAACCTGCAGAGTGCCTGTCCCGAGTCTGTACTCCAGATCACTACATCTCCATCGCACGAGGCGGTAGCCAAGAGCTGACTGTTATATTTGGCTATAGAGAAGATGTCCTCTGAGTGGTAGGATTTCCAGTGTTTGTATTCAATTACCTCGTCTTCTTTAACATCTCTGGTGAGCAAGATCAAACAGTCATCCAGGAAGAACAGTGTATTTAATGAAGTTAGAAGGAAGTGGACTGTAAAGGACAACAAATCCCTCTCAAGATCATAATCCGCTTCACCTTTTAGACATGGGTATGTTTAAGGAGACATTTGGTACACAGCAGGGTTAGAGATAACGAGCCAGCAATGGGAACCAAGGAAATACATTTGTACATGGGATCATGTAATCCCCACCCACTTCCTACTTACAGGTACCATGTAACTCTTTTACTCCAGCCAGTCACATATATCTTCAGATTGATGTACAGAATTCCCGTGATCTACAGGAAAGACACAGAAACAATGCTAAGGATAACTAGTAATTGCCTGAAAAACATCTGCTCACATATGCAAAATCCACACTTCTCCATTTGTGCAAAATTTGCACAAACCAGATAATTGTGCACCAAATTACCCATCACTGCTGTCACACTTGGTCAAACTGCATGTAGGAAGGCAGGTTTTATATGCACAATGGATGCCTCTGCAACGTTTTCAGGGTTTTTACAGACAGTTTGAAAGTCTGGCCCTGAACAGGCCACCTTTCCAAGTCAAACTGTTACTGGTATTTCAGTTTGTCAGTTTTCTCCCGCTCACTTATCCTAGGACAAAAAAACACTATGATAGCACCACCCCCTGCTTCCTGGCAATCTGAATCAGAGCACAATGAAATCGTGCTTCTACTCCAGGCTGGGACAGAGGAGAGATGCATGTGACAAGCACTGATAAAACACATCTCTCTTCTTTCACGAGGTGCTGACCTCCGTTTTATCCAAGTGAGGCATCTCAAGCAGACAGGCCCCGTTGTTGAAGTTCCAGAACTTGATGGTCCCATCTTTCAAAGCAGTAATGAGGCGTCTCTCCGGCCCATCAAAAGCCATTGCTGTTATTTCAGTGTGCTTGCCCTCTGAGGTCATAAACTGCATCATCTTTTGCCCAGTCATGATATCCCAAACTCTGACCATCCCACGATGGCAACCACTCACCACCTGTATAGACCACCATGAAGAAGTACATATTGTCAATCTATCAAGCTCTCAGCATTTCTAGGTCATAAGATATAATGGGGGGGGGGGGAACAGATCAGTGCGTTAGACATTGATACGTCATTACAGCAGTTTATTAGTGACCACAGATATTAAGACAGTTTATAATCCTGACACTCACCTGTTTGAAGTTCCTGTTATACAGGGCTGTACATAGCGGCTGGTCATGGGACGTGACTTCTGAGTTAATGGTTTCCATGAATTCTACCTCTCCATAGAAAATTCCAATCTGGATGAAATAGATTTAAAAAAAACATAAGATGCAAAAACAAACATTTCTTCAAAAAGAACCATCAGGATTTGAATAGAAGATGAATTATATGAATCAGAGCTGCCACCTCTAGGCAGCGAATGGAACATGGACTAAAGGTATGTAGATGCTTCAAGAACAGGGAAACCATCAGCAAAGATAGCCCCTCAATATTACTATACCTCCCAAGGAAAAATAAGCCAGGACCTCAAGAACATCTGCATTGCTGTGTTACTGATACCAAAGTGCCACTTCAGTCCATTGAAATACCCAGACTATATTAGTTTTTCAGGATGACCATCCTCCTGCAGATACACTGGAAGGAATGTTAGGTTACATCCAGATATTCCTTCTTTTATGGTGGGATATCTGGAACTGATGTCAGAGCAGCAGTTGGTCTGCAGAGCCCTGCGTGGATACAAAATTTGTATCCGCGTCTGATCCGCAAAGATGGTCCGCAGATATACGCAGATCTGCAGGGCTCCAGATATAGAATTTGGATCTGCGTCCATCCACGATCCACAAACATGGTCAGCAAATATCTGCATCTCTATTCCGAACCTCCTACTGAATAAAAATCCAGCATTTACTAATACCACAACCATGTATCACTGACAGTATTTAGCACTTTATGTCATCAAAGCACTGTAAAAACACTTATGGGCAGGACCTTCCAAAGTGCTGTGTTCATGCAGTTCCCATTGACTTCAATAGGAACTAATGGCACCCTACGAGAAGCACTCAGAACTTTGCAGGATCAGACCCCAACAGAGGGCCAAATCCTGCCCCCTTGACTAATGCGAACAGTCCCACTGACGCTCTGCTCTGTTCACATGAATAAGATGAGAATTTCAGTCAAAAACTTGTTTACAATATCCGTGTGAGGTAGCTAAAGAATATTACTGTCCCAGTTTTGCAGATGAGTACAGAGGCGGAAGTTAGTTGACCTCCACTAGGCCACACAGCAAGCCAGTGGCAGAAATGAAACTAAAAAGAGTATGTGCTCCTGAGTTTGTCTCCACTAGGCCATGCTGTGTTTCAGTGGGTAGACATTCACCCCATGCAGGACTGGTTAGGATTTTTTGATTAATTGTTTTTCAGCAAAAATATCAATCTGGTGAAACACAACCTGCTGGTGAAATGGGGTCTGCTTCAGCAAATTTCCCAACTCAACAAAATGTAGAGAAAAAAAACACTTTGAAAAATAGTTGAAACATTTCATTTTAACATTTTCGAAAAGAAAAATACTGGTTTTGCGGTTCAAAACAACTTTTCATTTTGAAACTTAAGCTAGTTAGACTGAAAAAGTTTAAAAAAGAAAAAAGGGCCAAAATCAGACATTCCAAAATTATCCAAACAAAAAATATTTCAATTGACCCAAACCAAGAACTTACGCTACATCTACATTTGAGCTGGGAGGTGGGATTCCTTGCTTGTGTACAAAAACCTGCACTAGTTCTGCTCCCAAGCCAGGATAGCACAGGCAGCATCTCAGGCTCCCTGGAGTTGTAGTTGAGCAACTAGCCCCCACGCTACCTCCAACTACACTGCTATTTTTGGGTGCTCGCTCGAGCAGAACTAGCACAGGTATGTCGATGCAAGCTGGGAACCAGACCTCCCGGCTCAAACAGAGATGTGGTTTCAGTTTTTTTATTTGTTTACAGTCAAGATTTCAATCTTCCATTCCCATTCTGATGGTAAAAATTTTCAAACTCTCAAAAACATTTCCAGGTTGTGAAAGACATTTCCTACCCAGCCCCAGTCCCACGTAGGCCCTAAAGGTTTAAATGGTGCATAAGCCTCGTGTTGGCCCTTTGCACAAGAGTGAATTTAAATCAATAAGAACTTTGAACTTCGGTCAAAAATGAATCACTCACTGATGTCTGCTAGAAAGATGAGCAAAGAAAGGAGAGAGGTCATCCCAAAAATGTTTTTTCCCCTTTTGTGAAAGAAAAGGGTACATTATGTCTTCTGTTAAAAGGTAAAATAACTAACTCACGGAGAAGGTGGTGCAGATAAGCATATTGTTTAACGCGCTGTAATAGGCATCAACAATCGGGCAATTTCCTAATGAGATACTCCTGCCAGGAATGGACTGGAGACAAAAGTGATCCAGCAAATCCCAAACACGGATATTCTGAAGGATGCAGGAAAGAAACCAGAAGTCAAAGGGATTAAGGCATTCGTGAGCACATTAGAGAGTTCATGCTGTTTAGCAGCTCAACCCAGAGGAAATAAATGCTTCCCATTCGCTCAGGCCAATATCCAAACACATGCACAATCCCAACGTAGAGCTGTGTTCCCTGCAATAGCCCAGGAATGGAGGCAAAGGACCTACCAGATAGACGCCGCCTTCCCCAAGGAAACCAAATATCAACATTCTCTGGGAAATTTTTGTTCTGTTTGCAGAATTCCAGAGAAGGCAGCACTAAAGTATGACGTTGCACTAGCTTTAAATTACAATACAAGCTATATGAATGGAATGCTTGGGGGGGTTGAGTCAAACCCACAACTTACAAGGAGATTCAAAGCTAAAGCTAAAATCTTAATATTTGAGCCTTTTCTACTACCCTGGTTCTTCCTCCCACCAATGTTAGTGAGCTGAGCACCACAGACAAGGACACAATAAAAAAGGCTCTTTGTACCCGCCATCTACTCAAGATGGAGCTACAAACAAAGGTAGAACGGCATCACGGAAGATGGCCAGGGACTGAACAGTGTTACTGCTTCGCTCTAGGTTTTGATGGGGTTAAGACCAACAGGGCCAGAGGAAGGCAAGGGGGAGCAAACCGCATTTTCATGCTTTGGGACCCCCTAACTAAACAGATGTGGGAGCTTGCCAGGATCATGGCAGCTATAATATTTGACTGACTGATTCTGGTGCCCCTCAGTCACCTGCTCCTGGCCTACAGAGAATGCAAAGATGTAGTTTTCTATTCAGCGAAGCCAGTTTCACCAACGTTTAACCTCTTTTTGAAGAGCATGCGCTAATTACACCAAAGGCTCCTCTCTAGGGTTACCATACGTCCGGGATTCCCCGGACATGTCTGGCTTTTGGGTCTTTAAATAGCCGTCCGGGGGAATTTGTAAAAAGCTAAAAATGTCCGGGATTTCCCCCTGGACGGCTATTTAAAGACCCAAAAGTGGCTGACAGGGCAGCCGTGCCGGATTGAGACACTCACTTGGGGCCTCTCCGGCAGCAAAAGCCCCTCCCCTGCAGCTTCAGCACGCCGGCAGCGCTGCGCGGGGCATAGGCACCAACTTGAACTCTGCCCCCCACTCCAGGCTCCACCCCTTCCCCGCCCCCATCCCAATCCCTTCCCCAAATCCCAGGCCCCGCCTCCTCCCCCGGGCGTGCCGCTTTTCCCCTCCACCCCCCTCACTCCCAGACTTTTGCACGGCAAGCCTGGGAGGGAGGGAGCGAGGGAGAGAGAGGGAGAAGCAGAGCGCTCAGGGGAGGTGGCAGAGCAGAGGTGAGCTGGGGCAGGGGGGCGCGGGGAGGGCTGCCCCCAGCAGGTAACCCGCTCCCTGCCCCAGCTCACTTCTGCTCCGCCTCTGCCTGCTGCCTTGAGCGCGCAGCCACACCGCTCCGCTTCTCACCCCCTCCCTCCCAGGCTTGCCACGCGAACAGCTGATTCGAGGCAAGCCTGCGGGGGTGGGGGGCAGAGAAGTGGGGTGGCTGCGTGCTCAGGGGAGCAGGCCAAGCCGGAGCGGAGATGAGCTGGGGTGGAGCAGGGAGCGCGGCGAGTCAAGGGACAGGGAGCGGAGGGTTGGATGGGTCGGGGGGTTCTGGGGCGGGTCTGTCAGGGGGCAGGGGGGTGGAGAGGGATTAGGGCAGTCAGGGGACAGGGAGGGTTAGATGGGTTGGGGGGGGGCGAGGTCAGGGG